CCAACAAAACCAAGGATAGGTGGGGTTCTACATCTGGAATCCCTCCGATCTCAGAACTACAGACACTGCTGTTCTCAAGGCTCCTGGGTCCCTCTTTATTATTCACACATAGTACGTCCCAGCCCCTGCGTGTGACGGCAGCCGATGGCCACTGGTGCACATGTGCCATCTACCAGAGAAACGAACGATTCTCAGGTTGAGCCCCAGATTTGGGGGTTTGTGCAACGGATGGGGCATGAATCTCCCAGGTAGAGATGAGGAACTTCCTCTGCCCTGGTTTCCAGAACAGTCTGAGGCACCCTCTACAAAGCGTGCCTCTCTGTGGATATTAGGGTGATGAGTTCCCTGCTGTGAGAATTAAACCTCTACCCACAACCTGGGTCAAGGACAGAGGAAGAGCAGGCAAAAGGTGGCATCTGTGTGGTGGGGGGACCCTGAGGAAGTTCCTTCCAAGGTCGCCCCAAACCTACCTTGCAAGGCCAGGGCAGGAAGGACCTGCTGGCCATGAAGGAAAGAGCAAGGCAAAGGCAAGGGGTGTGGGCACGGAGGCACACCCCAGAGCAGAGCCTCGAGCCTTGGCGTGAGCTGAAGGGGAGGCCCGGGCGCACATGCAGCTGATCCTGCACCAGCCAATTCTGACTTACATCACAGCAGACCCAAGCGCAGCTTGTGATAAAGGCACACGCCCAACAAGCTTTTAAGGAAAACACCAAGCGGGAAGGAGGGATGTAAAGCAAGCACAGAAACTCCCCAGCCAAGCGCATACGCCCGGCTGGGGCTGAAGTCCCGTGCCTGGTCTACAGCTGCCCTGGCCCATGGATGGACCCCAGTGAACCACACTTGCATTTGATGAAAGCAAATCTGCAAAGTTAACCTGACTCTTATAAAACATTGGCACATTTTTCAGACTCAACAGTAGGGGGTGGAAAAGAGCTGGAGAGGGCTTGGCAGCTAGGCTGGGGTGGCGGGGGTGCCTGTCTCTCCTCCGGGAGCCCTTGGCCTCACTATTTCCATGAGTCTCAATGCCCTCATCCGCAAAGTGGAACACCAGCCTTGTCTCCCACTGGCCTCTAGGATTAGGACTCACAATCATCCCGAACAACAGAGACAGACCTTTTCTGAGGAAACAGGGCACAGCACAGGGGCGTGGCAAACACCAAGCTTAAAAAAAGAGAGAGAGAGAAATCAGAGTTTTGAAATGGTCAGCTTCTCAGATTCTTCTTTTCTTTTATTTTTGTAACAAACCCCTTTCTTTCTTTAAAACATTAGATGACCTTACAAAAAAATGTCCTGTTCACATATATTTTATTACCTGAATTGCCAAAATAACGAAGCAAAAGGAATCAAACTAAAACCCAAAGAGATAACAGGATTTAAGAAGGTCTCCCAGTCGCCCCAATGACTGTGGATTTCTGTAGAAGCAGCTTACTTCTCTTCCATGAGCTCCGGAGGTTCTGGGGTGGTCTCCTCTCCAAAGCTCTGTCCCCCTGTGTCCACCCTTTCTCTTACCTTCATAGGTGATGTCTTTATTTTTTTAAAAAGAAATCGATTATCTAAAAGAAATCTCTATGCTAACTACCCTGGCTGATCACCACTCATGGCACATGGGTATGAATTATCACACTGCTCCCCACAGACACATGCACAATTAAAAACCAAATTCGTTTTTTTGAAATGCATCTCCTGCTCACCAGAAGCCCACGAGGCCAACTTGGATGGGTGCGCTCAGCCACGGGAACCTCTGTGGAGAGACATAAGACCGTGAGTGCTTCTGAGAGGCCCCAGAGAGCGCGCCTGCCCATAGCCAGAGGGACGCTCTCACAGCACGGGACCCAGATGCAGAGTGGTTAGTCGGCTCAGGCAGTGCGTGCATTAGTATTGACTTCGGGTGGCCCCGTGGTCTGTTGGGAACACAGGTGCACAGTCCAGGGGCTTGCAGTTCCTTTCCCTGGGACGTGCAGCCCAAGGGCTGCTTACTGTACAGGGGACATAGGTAAACAGCTACCACCTAATTATGATTGACCTCCTGGCTGGGGAGACTGTACTGCCTGATGTGCTCCCTTCCGGCCAGCTACTGGAGGCGGGGGAGAAGGCAGGCGGCTCCCAGGCCCTGAGCTTCAGTGTCCTTGCCAGGATGAAAAACAGGCATCCTCGTGCTTCTCAAAGTGTGTGGCCGAAGAGGCACCAGAGGACCTCGGGGAGCACCTAGACCTTCAGAGAGCACCTAGAAGTGCCCGGGGCAGGGCAGAGACTAGCAAGCACCACCAGCCAGCGGCCCTCGCACCTTCCGCTCTCGGTTTTAGTTGCTGTCAGTATGGCCAAAACTCTGTCTGGTATAAAATTCATTACCAGTCACTTCCTTTTTAGTGAAATACAAACGTTGTTAGATCTTTAGTCTTCAAAAAAGGAGCAGCACCAAGAACGAAGGCAAAGAGCAGGACACACAGGTTATGCCCTGGAGGCCGGGAGGCGGCAACCAAGCCTGAGGGGGGTCGAGACCCGCAGCCACAGAGAAGGGCCAGCACAAGCATGCGGCAGGGAGGCGTACCCTGGTCCCCACGGAGACTCCTCCAGCGAAGAGGAACAGCAGGAGGGTCAAAGTAAAGGGAGAAGGGCAGGGACTGGAGAGAAAGGGAGAAATGTCATCAAGAGGAGACGGATCCACGCAGGCTATGCAGAACCCCCGCCTTCAGACAGAAAGGACAGAGCAGGTGCCACTGAAGGTGGCTGTGTCCTGGGGAGTGTGTCCTCAGCAGCTCTGTCTTTATGCCAACAGCACAGAGCATGCAAACCCAAGCGGCTGCCACACCACCAGGTGGCATAACCCCGTGGGACTGCCGTCATCCCCGTGGCCCATCACAGACAGAAATGTCCTCCTATAGCACAGGACTGTCTGATGCAGGGTTCCCGTGAGGAGGTGGCGAATCTCACCCAGATGTTCCTAGACATGTGACACCTGGGTGGGCACACAGCCTTGACAGTGGGTGGAAGCCCTTCCAACAGGCGTCTCCATTAGCTCATGTGGTCTTGATTTTAATTACTGCAACGACTAAAAGTACTTTTTTTCTTTGGACTGTTTTTTCCCTTTGGACTGGTGGTTGAACCTGGGGTTGCTTTTACCCCCAAGCTACACTCCCAGGCCCCCACCGCTTTTTTGAAACACCAAGTCGCCCAGGTTGACCTCGAATTTATGATCCTCCTGCCTCAGTCTCCTAAGCTGCTGGGGTTTAGGTGTGAGCCCTGTGCCTGGCTGCTGGTTTGTTTCCCGAGTGAGCATTGACGGAGTTCTTCATGCATTCTGGCTGCAAAAATTTCCTCCCAGTCTGTTTCTTGTTTTTTTTTTTTTTTTTTTTTTTTCTGTACAGTTTTTGAAGAGCGGAATTTTAAAAATTTGATGAAGGCAAAAATTTATCATTTTATTTCTTGACTGGGCTTGAATTTTGGGTGTTGTTTAAGAACAGCTCTTTGCTAATCAGTGCTCCATATTTTCTTTCAGTACTTTTATGATCACAACTTTTATATTTGTTTTCTATAAACATTGAGGGCTTATTTTTGTACATGGGTCTATTCCCCACATATTGCCAATATCCCTGCCAACCTAAAATGTCACAGCTCTCCTACCAGGTGTCATGCTGTGTCCTCAGGAAGCTTGTGTAGACCACATGTATGGCTGGTCCTGTCTAGGTGATTGCCCACCTGCCTCAGCTGGGTAACAGTCCCTCTATGCTCCATGCTATAGTTACCGTGCATGGTAACCTTTTGTCCTGGGCCCCTTTCCTCTACCATGCTGTCTGCTCCTGAGAGTGGGGCTTGTGCCCTGCTTCTGTGACTCAGGCTCCTACCACATTGCTTGGTATCCGATGGGCACTCAGGAGAGGGCTAATGAATAAACAGTGACCAAGAATGAAGAAACAAACACCACCATCAATCAGCACAGTCCTGAAAAGCCATCGGTCGTTATTAAAGGGAACAGAAAAGAATCACATTTAAAAGGAACAAGAACTATTATAGGACCCAAACTATACCAATTTTATCCCCAATGAGAGTGTCAGCAAGAGTGACCTACATTAAAAGTGACAACAGGGCCCGTTCTTCTAGAAAACTGTTTACAAAAGCACCATGATTTTAGTCAGTGGACTTCTTGGTAGCTGTAAAATTTTCCATGAGTCACCTGCCCATCCTGGGCGCCTCTTCCCAGTGCTCCACTTGGGGAAAGATGGAGCGTAGGGAGGATGACTCATGCACTTGCTCCCCACGCACTGTTGTTTAAAAGGCCCGGATTGCTCAGTTAGTTGGAGTCTGCAGAGGAGGGTGGTCATGCGCGAGGCAAAAGCCCAGATCAGTGCGTCCTTGCAGAGGAGGCGCACCTGGCGTGGGAGCCAGACCCAGGCAGACTCTGCGGCAGGGGCACAGTGTCCCGCCTCGGGAGTGAGCTCTGAGTCTTATAAAAGGTGTGCAGTGAAGCCCCCTTTTCCAAGCAGGGTGTGAAAATGCTCTGCACACCGAGAAGTGTGGACATGGATAAAACCAGCTCTGCAAATGCGGCAGCTGTTATTCTACTGTTTGAAAAACCATATTGATGTCCCTGGTTTGCGTTCATTTTAAAACTTTTTCTCCCTCTGCAAATGTTTCAGAAATGGCCCCTATCCAGCGAGTCCCAGCCTCACCTCTACCTGGGCAAAATGCAGCATTTACCTGCAAGGTGCCGCTGACCTGGGAGTGGTGGGGTGTGAGGGACCCCGCTGCGCTTGGCCGTTACTTTTTCAAAGCCACTTCTTCCACTGGAATCTGAAGTACAGCAGCCACCAGACCTCCTGTGGCCAGGGAGGGGCTCAGGCAGACCCCTGGGCTATTCGGACAGCCTCTCTCCTACACCTTGCCATAGCACTCCAAAAACTTCAGCGTGGGGATGGGGCGGGCAGGGGCTCCGTGGAAAGAGTGAGTAAGGTGCACCCTTTCAAGTTACGATGACAGCTCAGCTAAACCACACATTACAGGGGTAGGGAGAACAGTATTTATTCATCTTTCTAATTTTGCAAAGGATTGAACAGTGTGGCCACAGTGGCCTGGGATGCAGGTGTCATTTGGTAGGTCCTCCCACGTGAGAAAACACCAGGACGTAGCCACAGTGACTCCCACCTCAGGTGGGAGGAGGAAGCGAGTCTCCCCAGGGACTAGCTGTTGAGCGTCAGTGTGGCCAGAAATGCAGACCCATAGAACTTCTGGACTTCCAGCCATGGCCAGGCACACGTCAGCGGCTAGAGGATACTTAGGGTCCACTGGCTGGAGCCAAACTCGGCCGAATAATGACCCGCTGGTGGTGGCAGCTAATAAGATTCTCAGCCTCGACTCCACAGCCAACCTATTAAGGTGCCCTGCCAACTGGATGTTGGGGGCATTTGAGAGGCTGAGACAAAGGGGCAGGAAAAGCTTACATGCTGAGGATGCTGCCACGGAAGGTGACCTCCAAACTGACTTCCACGTCACCTGCAAAACTCTTGAGGATGGTGGCCTGGTAAGAGTACTGGTTAAACCACCTTTCCCACTCTGGTCTTGCAAAAGCTGTTACTTTAATGCCACACAAACAAAACAAGATGGCAATTCCCAAGTTTTTCACACAGCTGGAAATCTGTCTTGCTTGCAAAGTGTGATTTCTCTTAAATGTGGCAGGAGAAGAAATCTGCTTTATTAAGTGTGCCTTTTGATTCCCTGCTGCTTCTAAAGTCATCCATGTCGATACTGATGAGTTAAGGGATCAAAAGTTGCTTGGGTCCGCATACTGCAGACCTAGGGACTTCCAGGATCCAGAGAGCAGACAACAACCCAGGGCATCAGAGGGGTGACCATCGGATGCAGCAGCTGTTACTCTACTGTTTGAAAAACCATATCGATGTCCCTGGTTTGCGTTCATTTTAAAACTTTTTCTCCCCCGAAGTCTGAACCACCTCTTCTAAGTCAAGCAGAGATGGTCAGATGGACGTTTTCTCAGGTTTCTTAAATCATGAGGATGTCAAACCTGATGGATTCCAGCTGACCATATCATGGGTAGTGCTTAGACAAGTGTTGCCCTAGCCTATAAATGAATCCTTTGGGAGCTTTAAACCATTAATCATTCCCAATCTTGGCACCAGAAAGAGATTTCAGCAAAACTTTTTTATGAATCTTCAAAATACAAATTTGTCAAAGAAGAATGTGAAATGAGCCCACAGTTACAATCTGGTGTGCACACAGTCCCTCTTATCCACAGGGACCCTCCTGACCCCAGTGGGCGCCTGCAATGTTGGGTGGGATGGAACCCCACACACCACATGCTCGCTTCTCCTGTGGGACAGTTCAGACACACCCATGGGGCAGTCTGATTTCTGAGTTAGGCACATTAAGAGATCGACAGTGATAACTAATAACAAAATAGAACAACCACATAACAATACACTGTGATCCAGTGGCCAGAGTCACTGCTCTGTGCTTCAGGGCCATTAAGCAAATTAGGGGTTACTTAACACAAGCACTGTGGTACCATGACTGTTGATTTAATGACCAAGATGGCTGCTGAGGTTACTGGGCGGGTCGTGGGAGCAGAGTGGATATGCTGGACCCAGGGCTGACACTGCCCAGAAGGGCGTACAACTTATAACTCATGAGTTGTTTATATCTGGAATTTTCCATTTAGTGTTTTTGGACCACAGTTGACTACAGGTAGCTAAAATCATGGAAAATAACACCAGAGACAGGTGACTGCTGTTTCAGGAGATTGCTGCTTGAGTATAGGTGGAGCTGTTGGTATTCCTGTTCATCTAGTGATTAAGGTTGTCAGAAACCTACAAAGGAGACGGATGGGGCTCGGATTTTTGCCGGTCTGCTTCCTGGGGCAGTGCAGGGTCTGTGGACTTCCTCTGGGAGCCGTACAAGGAGCAGAGACAGTTCGTCACTGCAGAGCGACTGTTCTCTGTGGCACCGTGCACGCTATTACGTAAGACTGCTAGGGCTAGCGGTTCCACAAACTACAGTGTGGGGACCACGATGCTCCATGTCTCCAAGGCTCTCAGGAACAGGAGAGGAGTGCTGGGGAGGGGTTCCCAGACGTGGGTTCGGGGCATCCATGGGCAATGGTCTGGGAGTGTCTGTCAAGTGAGGTGCTCACTAGCACTGTTTTTCCACAGCATTATTTTCTTGGCTTATTTTTCAAAGCATGGACTTGAAGAGAAAGTGCTCACCTACTGCTTCCCTCAGTTTCCCCACTGGGACCCCCAGAGTGAGATCCAGGAACACGCCCCTGACCTCACACGGGAGGTTTGGTCTGTGAGCGGTGGCCTCTCTCCAGAGCTTCACAGTGGCCCTTGCAGTTACAGGTTTGCTGCTAAGACTCAGAAGAGCTCACCCCATGGGACCTGCCGTGTTCACCACAGCACACCTGCCCTCATAGTGAGGACCTAGGCCACTGCTCCAGGCAGGTCCAGCCACACCAGCTTCCCAACACAACATACCCTACTCGTCTAAGAACTGGGAAACTGAGGTGGATCAAAGTGGTGCTCACCCCGCATGGCACAGCGCGCAATCCAGGAAGGACACTGGTCGTGGGCCGAGACGTCCCAGTTACAGCTTCAGTTTCAATCTGCATGCAGCCCCCAGGACCCTCTCAGTGGCAGTGCTCTTCATTTAGGAACACTGCCCCAGACATCTGAGGTCAGAATGGAATGTCCCCAGCAACATCACCGCGTTTACATAAGTGCCCAAGAGACATGGACCTTCCTGTTCCTTACATGCTGCTGGGGCAGGAGACATTCTGTGTGTGTGTGTGTGGGGGGGGGGGCTGAGGAAGGGCAGCAGCCGGCACTCACCTTCAGGAAGGCCTTCTTCTCCAGAGTGTTCATGATAAACGGAGGGATGGCTGGGAGAAAGCACAGAGCACAGAAAGCTCGACTGAATGACTGTTTTTGGCTCAATTTGTTTTTTCAAAAATTCGACAGAAGGCTTGTGTCACTTGGGCTGTTTTTACATTGGCAGGTGAAAACTATTTGTAGTGATTCTTTATTAAATTCAAATTTGTTGATGATGGCCCACTGTACATGCATCAAACGACTGTATGTCGCATGCATCTGTCCAATTAAACCAATAATCATAAGATAAATAAACTTAAATTTATAAAATTGCAGAAGTTCGCAAAATAACATAATGCTCTCTGCCAGCCAGAAAGGTCTATAACCTTGAAAGGAATTCAACACTGAGCTTTTAAAAGGCAACAGCATGGGCATCAGGAATGATTCCCCCACAGCCTTCCTTGAGCGTCCACCATGCATGCAGGACAGCTGAGGGATCCTGACCAGAATCATGCAGAAGTTGCTTTAATATGGGCTGGGTGGGCTACCTGTGAGCTGGGTGACCTTGGTAAGGCTGCCTGATTTCTCTGGGCCTCTGTGTTCTGTTCTCCTGTCTATCAAACAGTGGGCATTATGTTAAACTGGTGGCCATGACTAGACCTCGGGTGCAGGGGCGACATCTGGGACCTGGGTGGCAGCACTGGCTCATTAGCTCATAGCTATCCACGTATTTAAGGTCACACCAGCTGTTTCAATGCAGCTGACAGAAATCCTGGGTTTCTTTCCTGGAGATCAGTGTTTACAATAACCAAGTTGCTGGAAATGAACTTCACTAGGACTTACAGGGGAAAAGCCTAAACCCAGAGCAAGCGAGGACCATAAGTGGGAGTGGCCATTTGGTTCCCAAAACCGTGGGAGCCAGGGCTCAGCAGGCGTGTCCAGGGAGCTCTGTGGCCTCCTCACAGGTAGCAACAGGGTCTGGCTCTGGGCTCTAGGCCTGGAGTTCACACTGTGGCCTCCTGGGCGCCCCACAGAACACCCGGTGTCCCCACATGGCAGCGGAGGTGCCTGTGTGGAATCAGATGAGGCCGACTTTCCCAGTCAGCTGGAAGGCAAACACAGCTGGCCCTGGCCCTCAGGGTTGTGGGGGACTCCGGGGGTGCCCAAACCCTGGATGTGCAGGTCCCCTGGAGAAGGTTGGCGTCCATGCAAGTGACCTTCCCACCTCCTCCTGTGTACTTAAGGTCACCTCGAGATTACATGTGCCGCCTGGTACCATGTCCATCTCTGTGAACAGCTGTCATGCTGAATCGCTTAAGGAACAACGACAAAGGTAAAATCCTGCCATGGTCCATGCAGATGCGTCCTCTCTGCGGGCTCATGAGGGGTGCAGGGTGTGTGGCTGTGCTCAGGCGGCCTTCACACACTCTCCCTGACTTTTGCTGCCTAGTCCTACTTGGCTGCCGAAGAGTATCCACAGTGACAGAAGGAATTTAGAAACAGCCGCAGGCGTGGTGGGAAAGCCTGACAGTAGCTGATTAGGTAGGCTTCATCTGAGAGCTTCCTCTTATAGCCAAGTGCTCTTCGCATGCAGCTTAAGTGATAAAATTAAACACACGAATTTCTGTTTTGTTTCATTTCTTTCAAAGACTGAGTGAGTCTGGGAACCTTCTCTAGGATTCCTGTCTCAAGGCAGCTTCCAGCCACCTTACGATGAGCAGGACACTCAGAGGAACTAAACACAGTGCCGGCTTTGTGGTCACACTAGCTCCAAGCCCTAGAGAGGAAATAGTCACTTGGCACACACTAACAGCTGTTCTAAGCATTCCCACATATTCTGTGTTCCCAGGGTTTCCAATGGCTACAGATGAATCTTCAGGAGAATTTATTTGTCTCCATTAAGTTTTGGGAATTCTAAGATTTACACAGATCAAATTCCTTCTCTTCAAATCCTCACCACTTGCACTATGTCACATGGTCCAAACACCCAAGTGTTATACAAACTTTGATGCACAAAATTATTAAAAATATTGCACAAAATCTTTAGAGCATGTGCATATGAGTAAATTCCATGTTTAGACAAGTAAACATCTTATCCCCAAGACAGCTCGTTATATACTCATTTTATGTAGGCAAATATTTGCCAAATTCAAAGAAATCCTAAATCTGGAACACAGTTGGTCCCCAGCCTTTGGGATAAGGAATACCCCTGCACTAGGTGTTTATTTAGTTGTTATTTTCTGCAGTTGCCACCAGAGGCAACTTTCCCACAGGAGAGTGACTTTACACTGCCTTGCTGTAGCTGGGACATGAGAAGGCTCCCCGAGCCTCCATGTATGGGGTGAATGAAGGGACGACGGAGACGCAGGTCCACTAACCCATGCCGGGGGCCGCCATGAGAATCCTGGAGACGACCACCTGGGAGATGGCCTGCTGTGCCGCGTTCGCTGACTCGCCCAAGCGGTTCCCGTTGTCATCGGTGACTGGAATGCCAGCTTTGAGCTCCCTGCAGAACCAAACATAAGCAAAGGTGCCCACGCGTGCCCTCCTGCAGTACCCGGGACAGCGTTCGCTGGCAAGATCAACCCTGCTGCATCCAGAGCCCACTCAGGCGTCACTTTTGGCACTGACAAATGTATTTTTAAATGCCATGAACAGGTTCAGTCCCCTCTGACAGACAAAGGGAAAATAACACTACCACACTTTAAAAAGGTGTACCCTTTCCAATAACAATATGCTCTGAAGACTAGATGTGCTAACTTGAGGATAAGGCTGATTTCCATGTTCACGTACAGACCTGAGCAACTTTCCAAACCAGGGGCAGATATAAGGCAAGGCATGGAGTTGACTAGCTGCACGGACACAGTCTAGACCACAGCTCTACTGGAGAGGCAAGACAAGGCACTAACACTAGAACTCCTACTGTTACCCTGTTTTTCTTTTTCCACTCCAAAATGCTTTTTCTCGTTCTTTCTTCTCCATTAATTTTTGCCAATTCTAAAAAAATACCTTCAAAAGTACATATTAATATTACTTTAAACTCCAAAAGAAAGCCCCAAGGGAATAAAGGGAACCTATTTGGAGGGTCAGCTTCTCCTGCATAGACCTTCTTCGTCTAACCCAACCTCAGCTCAGCAACAGCTTGAGCCATGTCCTAAGACCTTGGTTACAGAGAGTGGCTGAGCTAGCCTCAGCCCAGGCTCTCACCAGCCTGCTCTGGCAACTGGCAGCCCACGGCCAGGTGTACTGCCCCATGCACCTACCCTCACCCCAAGCCTGGAATACTTTGAGGCACATTCCAGATCACGCTTAATTTTATCTGTACAGTAAAAATATATTTTGGGAAATTTCAGTGAAGCCCATTATTACAAGAGATGTCCTGCCAGTGCAGTCCTCTGGGAGTGAAGGCCGGCCTTACCTTTGACGCATCAGCGGGATGTTAATACAATTGGCAGCAGCCACGGCAGCAAAGGGCACGAAGCGTCCTATGAGTGGCGACACGTGCTGCAGGAAGGTGACCGGCAGCGTCAGTTCCCCTCCTGTGGCCAGGTGGGCTCCCAGACCCTCCCAGACATGCTGTGAGCCCCGGGCATGCAGACACACAGCCACCAGCACCTTAAGGTGGTTTCCTTGGGGAGTTTTTGCTTTCCTGGCATGGGCACACTGGGACAATGCACACCCCTGGGGCACATCAGCAGCTTGGTGTAGCTGAAGGCACGTGGGCTCTGGAGTCCCAAAGTCCCAATGTTTGAGTTCAGATACTGCCTCCTTCAGCTCTTCAGAGGCCCGCGGCCACCACACAGACTCAGGGACTGCCAAGATGGGGCACTCAGAGGTTAGTGCACAGAGCCAGGCAGAGCTGACCGTCCTGACTGGTGCCATTGGTGATAGCCCTTCCACACTCACAGGGGATATAATAAAGCATGCAGCTGCAGATAAAAGTGGAACAACAAAGCCAGGACCAGGACATTCCTGAGAAACACCAGGAGACTGGGGCCAGAGAGGTGAGACTGCACTGCCCCACTCTGCCACCAGATGGCAGCCTGAGTACCTTGGTCAGCGCGTTCAGCCCCAGTGCTGTGGCCACAGCCCCCGTGGTTGCAGAAACGTAAGCTGTTCCCAACTCACTGAAAAGGAAAAAGGAGATCACATAAATGACAACTGCTGTCAAGAAACTGGCACTTGGGCCTGGGGCTCTGTGGTAGAGCACTCGCCCAGGACGTGTGAGGCCCTGGGTTTGATCCTCATCACCACATAAAAATAAATAAATAAAATAAAGGTATTGTGTCCAACTAAAAAAAAAAAAAAAATATATATATATATATATATATATATACATATACATATATATATATATATAAAATTGATTTATTTTTTAAAAAAGAAGAGAAACTGGCACTTGATTTGAAGAAACATGGGGAGAGAAGAGCATCATAAAAAAACCGGGAGTCCACAAGATGATGCTGTTCACCATTATTCAAATAGGAAGCCAAGAGAAGTCCTTGAATAGTGGACTATAATAGCCCCAAGAACAAGCTTCTTCACAGAGACAATCCCAGATGGCAGACAGCACATAAGTCTCCTGGTGCTGAGAACAGGGCGCGCCGGGGTGGGCCAGCCCAGTGGCCAGGGTGGGCAAACGCTGCGGCCAGGCGCTAACCGCAGAGACACTTCCCTCACATTCACACACACACACAGGAAGCAGGACGCAGCGCTGCCATTCTCCCAACACTGCCTTGGTGGACAAAATACCACAACGCATGGGCTCACCCTAGACAGAGGGCAAGCAGCTGGCTCTTAGTGGGGACGGACACTGCTGGGTTGCAGATTTCAGTATCCACTGGATGAGAGCAGAATGGAACTGTGGGCTTTCAAAGGTAATTTTGAACCACCAAAAGGAAAACATTTTCTTTCAAGTGTTACACAAGCTACACTAACATTTTTGTTCAACCTCTATCTTTAGCTCGTTTCTCTCTTTGTTCTAACAGGAGGTAAACTTGTGAACTCTCTGCTTTCTGTTGGGCTCCAGAGACAAAGCACGCACAGGGTCACACCACCATGACCCACCTTGATTTCTGCAGAGGCCACACTGTTGACTTCCCTACTTTGATGCTGGGGGCTTTGATGCATGCACACTTAGGAGAGTAGAGCATGTCATTTATCAATGGTCAGACCTGAGGGCTCCCCAGCCTGTGCTCTACAGGGGCACCAAGTTCCAGAGTGCATGAGAGATGCCATTCTACCAGTGCTACTAGCAGCAGGAATACTGACAGAGAGGGCAGGTGGAAGGGGGCCTGTTTTGACCCAGAGGGAGGAGAAACTCTACTTTAAAAGATGTTATGCAGATTTCTGTACAGCATAAACAACATTTTTAAAAATGTATCTTCATTTTATTTATTTTTATGTGGTACTGAGGATTGAACCCAGACTTTAGCCCGTGCTAGGCGAGAGCTCTACAGCTGAGCCACAACCCCAACCCCAACAAATGCATCTTTTGAAAAGGAAAGTATTCTGCTACCTTTCCTATCCTCTACTATACAACAGTTACTAATATGGCATTATGTAAAAAAGTGGATGTGTAACCAATATGATTCTGCAATCTGTATACGGGGTAAAAATGGGGGAGTTCATAACCCACTTGAATCAAATGTATGAAATATGATATGTCAAGAGCTATGTAATGTTTTGAACAACCAATAAAAAAAAAAAAAAAAAGAAAAGGAAAGTATTACCACTTAATCAGATGGGCACTGGGGAAGCAAGAGGAGGCGGAACCTGCGAGCTTACCTCATAGTGAGAGGGGCATCTCCACTTCTGTTGGTGTAATTGACGATGGCGTTGAAGGACTGGTTGATCCACTGCCAGAACAGGACAGCTGGTGTGGTCCTGTAACAGAGCAAACCACCCCTCACCACCTCCACCTGGGACCAGCTACAGCCGGAGTCAGTGTGTGCATAGCGACCGCCAAGAGGAGGGGGCGGAGAGGAAGGCTGGGGCAGAGGCACAGGCCACAGGCTCAGGACCTGTTTGGTGGCTTTGGTCCTCTGATCAGTTTTCTCATTGCCAAGCTCAGAGGTTTACTGTGCGATGAAGGTAAACTGTAGAGAGCCTGACACAGAGGGACCATAAACGGCAGGTTCCTCCTCTTGGGCTGGGCAGTCCTGGCACCTCATAGCTGCAGTCCTATGTGCTACTGTGTGTCCATTTATGTGTCCAGGTTGACCTGCACCTGTGCTTACACCTACATAAGGTATTTTATATCCATATTTATATAAGTAGGCTAAAAGGAGAATTTGCTCTTAGATTCTATTTTCTTTTGGGCCTAAGATTTAGGAAAAACTTCAACTTCCCTTTGAACAACAAAAAAGATGCTACTTAGCAAGGGAGAAGGTAAAATGGATCTTAAAAGTGTTTCTTAAAGATAGATTTGCTGCTGAGCAGAGGTCAAATGTTTACACCAAATAGAACTAGAAATGAAATGACATATTTTTCTCCCCAGTGCAACAATACCCCTATTTTATTTTATTGATTTACTTTGGTTGGTACCACAGATTGAACCTAGGGGTGTTTAACCACTGAGCCACAACTTTAGTCCTTTTTTTTTTTTCTTTGAGACAGGGTCTTGAGAAGTTGCTTAGGGCCTCGTTAAGTTGCTGAGGCTGGCTTTGAACTTGCCATCCTCCTGCCTCAGCCTCCTGAGCTACAGGATTATAAGCCTGCATCACTGTGCCTAGCTCCCCTATTTCATTTTTAATCATTTTAAATTTTATTTTTGTAGAATTTATTTGTAGAGTATAACATGCTGTTTGATATCCTTCTGAATAACTAAACCAAATTCATTGACACACTCATCACCTATATACTTAGGAAACAGCATTTATTTTTTAGACACTTACATATAAATATACACTTTGAAAAAAAAGACATGAGGGGTGCGGAATGCTTGTGCCACAGTGAAACCATTCTTATACGAATTAAAATGCACTGATCAACACAGGCGCCCTGGGTCTCTGGAAAAGGGGCAGCCAGCTGGCTGCAGGGCATGGCTCACCTGTAGAAGGTCATCATGCACCCAGTGATGGTCATGTTCATGGGCACCTGGGCCGACATCCGCCCGATCAGGATCATCTTCTCCCCGGTGTCAGGGTGGAAGGCAGACTCGTACACGTACTTGGCTCTCCACAGCTCGTTCTCTGTAAGACCCGGAGGGACAACTCCTTGTCTAGGGACAGGACCACAAATAACACGGGGCGGCTCACTTCAAGTCCACACGGCACCCGCACAGGCCTCGGCACGCTCACAACTGCCTGCCACGACGGTGCTAGCTTAGTTCTCAGCTGGCACCGACTTATTTGTATATTTATGCCTTTTTGGCGCAGGGGACTGAACCCAGGCACACTCCACCACTGAGCTACGCCCCAGTCCCTGTCAGTAAAAACGTTAAAAACACAAAGGATAAAAAGTGCTTAAAATGAACACTTCAAACATATTCATCTGAAATTATCTGTAATTTGAATTTTTTTTTGAAAAACTGTATACCAGAGAAGTATTCAACTTTGAAATATTCTTTGTTTTAAATGACATTAAAAAATGTAGTTTGAACTTTGCAAACTCTAAAATATTTTAACCAATTAGACAAAAGCTATGGCAATCAAGAACACTAATTCATTTTAAACCTGTAATTTGGAAACCTAGCTTAGGAAGACTCTTTAGTGTAAAAGAAATGTCAGGCACATCATTTGTTATTTCTTCTCTCTGTCAAAGGAATACCTGTCCATTGCCAGAAATTCAGAAAATGTATGAATTCATCAGAGCGATTAAATCACTGCAGCCTTAATGCAACCTGGTGAGCAGCTTCAATCTCCCTCCCAGGGTCCATATGCTGAGTGTTTACGTAAAGGTGGGCACCAGACCTGCTGCTTCAACACCACCTTTTAAATTCAACAACATTTTATGAATGCTTCTGTGCCTACAGATATTAGTCATCTCTACTGGGTTGAACAGTGTTTTCCCCAAATTTCATGTCCACCTGGAACAATAGGATGTGACCTTATTTGGAAATGGGGTCTTTGTAGATGAAATTAGTTAAGATGAATGCTACTGGATCACAGTGGTTGCTAAGTCCAATGAATGGGGTCCTTAGGGAATGGCCATGTGCCAACATACCAGGAGGCCACGTGCTTTAGGAGGTGGAGCTCCCGTACCCACAGCTCAAGGCCAGCAAAGCATGCCTGGAGCCAGCAGGACTTAGGGAGATGCAAGGACACCGTCTCCCCTCCAGGCTTCAGAGGGAGCACCTGAACCTGGAGGCTGAATTTCTGAAGTTTTAAGCCACTTAGCTGGTGGTAAATTGTAGCAATCTCAGGAAACAAATGTGCACAGCATCTGCTGTCTGATTTTAAAACAAAGTAGGATTCCACTGCCCTGGTGTGAGCATCTGAACTGCTGAACTTTCTTCCTCTGTGAAGGATGAGGAGCACATACAGTTCCCTGGCAAGTGAGTCACCCCGCATGTGAGATTGCCTAGAGAGGAATGTGCAAGGTGGCTGACACCAAGGCTGTGCACCATGTTAAAGCTTCAGCTATGTCTTGGTCTTGATCATCATCAGCAGCAACAGCAGCAGTGCTGATATTTAAGTAACTTGAAAGTGTATTTTATATGTGGGGGATCACTAACCCGGGTGTGCTTTCTGCCATCCTGGATGATTCTTTCCTATGTGGCCAGGGAGGGGTAGGTGAGGCTCTGCCTAGAAGGTCTGATTGACCGTGATACAGTCGTGCAGATGTCCACCTGTGTTTTCCACAGTTCAGAACAGTGATTTCCCTTTTGTCACTAGTTTTTCATTTGCTTAAAATGTATCTTAACATGTGAACCTGTGAACCTTGCTTCACCTTATCTCCCAGGTGGCTGCCTGCTCTGGGCTGAGATTTCCTGAAGATCAGGTCTGCTTCCTAGACCTTCTCCTGTGTTCCCATTTATCTGCATATTCTGACACCAATGCCCACGATCTTAACTTATCTGTCCATCGTGATTGTTGCTGAAGCAACTGCAACTCTGACAGGGGAAAAAAGATGTCAGTGGCGGGAACACAAGGTTAAGGGAATAATTCTATCAAATGGGCCCACTGGGCTGACCCCCACATTCTATTCCAAGAAGCAATTTACTTGCAGCCCCGCCTGGCCTAAGTGGACAGGATTTGTCAACATTTCTCAACAAACTACCTGTTATCTGCAGGAGAAATGCAGCCAGAAATAACATTGGAAGGAGGAACCCAAGTTATCCTGATGGGCAGATCTTTGTAATCCCTTTCACAGACTGAATCCCAGAACCCAGGGAGATGAGGATTGCTCCTAACCATAAAGTCTGTAACAATTTATAGTTAAGAATCCCATTAGAACTGGTCAGCATGGGCCAAATGACCTAGAGTTGTCATAGCAGTGGGGACTTAAAATCTGATGTCATCCTGCTGTCAGTCAAAAGTCAAGAGGTGGGCCTGGGCAGGACTCTGGAAGCTTCTCTGGGATCCCCAATAAAACAGGAGTGCAGGAGAAACACTGTCCCTCTTGTCTCTGAGAAAACCCACTCCCTCCCCGAGACTATCCCCTTTTGCCTTTTCCATCCTTTCAATAAGTTTTATTGCCTGTTCTTCTGAGCGACATGCCTGGAATCTTTTTGACTGGATCAAAAGGATTGGGGCTTGAAGGGGATCGTTGTGCTGCCTCAGTTTCCCAGAGGGCCCCAGCTCTGTGACAACTCACCCATTCTTCCTTTTTTTAAAAAAATGCCTTAATCACACTCATTATTTATTCTTCCAGAAACACCTTACAATTATCTTGTAAACTTCATAGGTGATTACAGTGTGTTTTGACCGACACCCTGTTAACTGGAGAGCAGATATTGCCAACAGTGCTTCTAAACTAATGGAGAGGAAGGCGCGGGGCCGTTCCCCAGCTTCATGGAGCACACTGCAGTGTGGTCTCCCAGGGACATGCCCTCTTGGACTCAGAGAGATGTTATGGGGAAAACAGCAGGGGCCTGTCGTCAGGTTTAGGGAAATAAGTTAAACGGCTTCTCTACTCCTCGACTTCTTGGGACTTATGGAAGTGACGTACACTTATGGGATGTGGCACCCTCAGGAATGGAATGTGAACTTTTCCAAATCCAACTATAGAAACCACCTTCCTCTCCTCCCCTCCTCCTGTGCTGCACCTCTGCAAAGCCATTCAGGAAGTGCTGCTCGGGTGGCTCATCCCCTGTGGTGGGGCGGGCTGCTGGCCTGTGAGCTGTGCCTGTCATCTCTTCTCTTCCTTCTGGTGCATGTTGGACAGCGCCTCGCCCCGGGCTGATGGACCACTCCTGGCTTTCATCTGCATTTTTCTGCAGCTAGTAACACTCCAGGTCTTCCCAGATGCTGGCTTGCTATTCCCAGCATTACTTTGGGGAAGTGTTTTCTGTCTGCTGCAATCTATCACCCACCTTACAAACTGTGTTATCTTATTATATTCAAAAAGAGTTTTTTTTTTTTCCATCTTCTGGGTATAAATCCTTTGTGAGATAAGTTTTGCAAACCCTTTCGTGCAGTCTGTGAGGTGCACTTTTGCTCTCTAAATGGAGTCATCTGCGTGGAAAATCTTTTACGGTGTGGAAGTTCAATTTTTCCACAGTTTCGTTCCTTTTTTCCCTCCCCCTGTGCTCAAGTCCCAGAGAATCTTCACAATTCCCAAAGCCACAAAGGAGCTCTGTTTTCTTCTAGGGATCTTTCCATGTCAGCCTGGATGTTTCTTCAGGTCATCGTCATCATGAGCTGCCTTTGGTTTGCGGTGTACAGAAGGATGGACGCTCACTTTGTAGGACTGCCCGATTTTTCACTGATCATGGCCACGTTTCCTCGTGGATTATCTTGGTGTAAAATCAACTCAGTGTATGAGCTTGGACCTAATTTAGAAATCGGCATTTTGTTTCATGGTCTGTGCTACAGTTTGAATGCTGAATGTCCTCCCCAAAAGGCCCGTGTGTGGAAGGCTCAGTCCCCAGGGTGTTGCTATCGGGAATAGAGGGCTCTCTATGAGGGGCCTGGTAGGAGGTCTTTAGGGCATTGGGAGCGTGCTCTGGAAGGGGCTGTGGGTCCTTCTCATCCTTTTCTTTTTTTCTTGTACCCTGGCCATGTGGCAAGGGATTTTTCACTCCACCACATGCTTCTGCCAGGATGTGTGCCCCCCCTACACACACAATCAACCAAAGAAATGGTGCAACTGGTTATGGATTGGAACCTCCAGAACTATGAGCCAAATAAACCTTTTCTCCTTCTAAGTTGATCATCTCAGGTATTTTGTTATAGAAACACAAAGCTGTCTAGAGTGACAGTCTACGTGTCTACCTTTGCACCAGTTGTAGGCATTTTTACTGTTAGTGCATCAGGTCTTGAGATGAGGTAGGGTAGTTCCTCAACTTTGCTCTTTCTCAAAATTGCATTCAATCACCTAGGTCCTCTGTATTTCCATGTAAAACTTTTAAAATCAGCTTGCAATTTCTATAAAAATCCTGCTGGGATTCTGATGCCACATTGAATCTACATCAATTTGGGGAACAAATGACATTTTAATGATTAGGGGTTTTCCAAACTATGAACATGGTATTCTCTTTTCATGTAAACAACAAACCAACCAAGGGATTCCTTTTCGTAATCTCTGTGTTGTGTGCTTTGACTTTACAGGCATTTTACACATTTTGTTAATGCAATCTCCAAGTATTTACTATTTTTGTTGTTTTTGAAATAGCATCATTTTGATTATTTCCAGTTTACAGCTGTTAAATGCTACTAGATGAAAATAAAATTGATTTTAAATACTGATCTTGTGTCTTGTGACCTTGACAAACTTACTCCTTCTAGTTTTTATGTATTTGTATTTTTTGTGGATTCTTTCTACACAGATGGTCACGTTCGCTGCTGTCTTTAATTTTGCTGTTGATCTTCTAGCAGCCCCAGCACAGAGCTGAGGAAGAGCCCTGGAGACGGACTCCGTTGGCTCCCAGCCTCAGGGGAGCGAGCTCGTCATTCATCACCATGGGTGATGGCCCTGGCCTCCCCTTCTCTTCCTGGTCTGCTGAGAGTCTCACCACAGAGGCCTCTGGGTTCTGTCAGCTTCGCTGCCCCTGTGGCGATGAGCACCTGGTTTGGGCTCTGTGGTCCACCGATGGAGCTCTGTGGACGTGGGGCCAGCCTTGTCACAGGCAGCGGGGGCACTGCTCCAGGAGCTGCCCTCCACCTGGCCAGCTGACACCTGGGCTGTCTGTGAGGGACACCATTACAGAGCTGCTGCTTGAACCCCGTGTGTCAGGGATTAGGGCCCCGTCGATGGAAGAGGAAGAGCTTGCCTCCTACTTTCTGGGTGATCTGTGGTGAGTGGCTCTTCTCAGAAAAAAACGTTTCCCACCCGCAAAGCCAGGTTGCCTGGGAAAGATTTTGGATGGTTTTGCTTTTTATTTTTCTATTTGTTCTGTCTCATCTCTTCCTCACCCTTCCCCCCTTTTTCCCTCCCTTCTTTTGAACAAATTTTGGTTGTTTATACTTAAAAACGTTAAATATTTCACTAAGATTTTCAAACTTTTTAGCAAAAAAGCTCCATAGTAGGTTTTATTTATTTATTTTGATCCCAGGGACTAAACCCAGGTGCTCAACACCTGGGCCACATCCCCAGCCCCTTTATGTTTTATTTTGAGATGAAGTCTCGTAAGTTGCTTAGGCCCTGGCTAAATTGCTGAGGCTGGCGTTGAACTTGTGATCTTCCTTCTCAGCCTCCCAAGTTGCTAGGATTGCAGGTGTGTTCCTCTACACCCTGTGGTAGGCTGTATTTTAATATCTCTATTTCTTCCTTAGGGAACTTTCTTGTTCCTCTCGTCTACTTCTATGTATTTATTTTATATTGGTTAGACTTGCCAGAGGCTTGGCCTTCCCTTATTCATCAAGGAATCAATTCTCTCACTTGCTTTTTGGAAATTATTAATTTCCGACTCATAGCAACGACGTCCCCTCCACTGTCCTTGCAAGCCAGCTTACGTGGCCACGAGCAGCAGGGACTCTGTGGTGTGACCCTCGGGTTCCAGGTCTAGCTCTAGCAGGAGCTGCAGTCTGTGCCTCAGCTTCTCCGCCTGGAATGCAGGCAACATGGTGTTGGCCTCTCCTGCTGCTGAGGCGCGGGTGGGCAGCAGGAAGGGCACGGGCGGGCCTGGTGCAGGGCTCGGATGGGCTTGCTCCCTGCACTGCTCCGCTGTGGTTCCGATTTCTCGGGCTGCAGGTGGGCCCGTCAGTGCCACGCTTCGCTGGTGAGTCACAGAGACGTGGAGAGAGAAACCGGCCGGCAGAGCGCACTCTGACTCGACTTCTCCAGGTTTCCCAGGTGGTTTCTCATTGTGTTTGCTATTCTACTTTTGGCTAAAGGGAGTGTTTAGGAAATGCTATGTGCCCCGAGGACCTGTCAAAGACGAGGAAAGCTGTGTAAGGATTTCCTACTACTACTGTATTTTAATCAAGTTCTATTTTTATATACTTTATCAAAACCATTCTTTCCTATCTATTGGCCCTGAATCATACTGCATCTGATTTCCTACAGGAATCCTCTCCCTTTCTATTCCACGTGCCCTTCCTGCCCTCGAGAAGCGGGGAGGAGTCTGCCTTTGCTGCTCCTGCACTTTTGTCCTCTGGGATGAAGACAGTAGGTGCAGAGCCCCCGCCAGACTCCCTCCCACCGGCACTCTGCACAGAGGGAGGGGCTGACCGAGGGCCCAGGGCTCGCCTGCTATTTTAAGGATTGTCTTTACCCACTTCACGGATGCTTGTAGAAATTTCAAGTTTGTTACAGATGACATAAAAGAGATCGTCAGCTGGCCTTGCTTGAGATGGGGCAGGTCTCTTGAATCCGCAGATGTTTCCTTCCTGAGGCCCCGGGTTCCTCCTTCAGAGCATCACGCAGCCCACCTCCACTCGCCCTCCTCTACGCCCTTCCGTGATCTCCTTCACCCCTTTCTCCTTCACCTACCCCAGGTGTTACTAGCCACACCTGTGGGCGGTGGGTGGGCTTCCGTTCCAGAGGTGAGAACAGCCAGGCATGCTGAGCCATGGACTGCTGCCTGAGGCCACTGCCCCTGGCCCTGCACAGAGAGTGGGCCATCTCATCACACCCTTGGGAGCACCCAGGGTCACTCTAGACCCTACTCCACCTGTCCAAGGTGCCGCTTCTGTGGCTAGCTTCACAGCTGCCTTGAGGGACAATTTTGAATGGCCTCTGAGGTGCCCAGGTCTTGGCCATCCTCCTGCTGCCCTCTCCCCAGCCCGCACACGGGTCTTGGCACCTTAATCTTTTCTCATGGCTTCTGTTCCAGATTCTCCAAGAATAGAGAACGTTCCCCAAGTTTCTGAACTGTGCTTCTGTGAGGTCATCCTTTCCTCCTTGTTCAGAGCTTTTCACAAGCTCTGGCTGTTCTGATGCCGTGGTGGCCGCGTTTGAACCCTAGCTGAAGGTGGCCTCAGTGGCAGGCTTGGGTGCAGGGCTTCTAACAGCACTGTCGCCAGCTTCTAGTGCCCCTCCTTAGAGCAGGGACTGGCACTCCTCCCCACGGCCAACGTGGCCTGCTGGATCAGAGAGACTTTCATATTTTTTAAAAGAATTGTTAAAAAAAAAAAAAAGCAAGTAATCAAAAAATTAAGAATACTATGCAACAGTGTGGTAGCCTCTGTCGCTGGGTTAAAATACGACAGAACCAACTAAGAAAGAAGAAAGACATATTTTGGCTCATGGCTTCAGGGGTCTTGGTTCATGGTCACTTGGCCCCCTTGCTTTGGGCCTGTGGTGACAGAGGACACCACGGCAGGGCTGTGTATTGCAGGAGGCTGCTCACCTCATGGCGGCTGGGAAACAGAGAGAAAGGGGTTGGAGTCCCAAAGCCCCCTTCAAGGGCACGCCTCCCACGACTAGCTTCCTATCCTAGTACCTCCCACGGATTCCCCCTCTTCTGAGAAGAGCCTTATTTGGCTGGGGACTAAGACTTGGACACAGGAGCTTGTGGGGACTTTCTAGGGTCATACTAGAGCAGGGGCCCTCTTGGTCCACAGGAGCACTTCTCACCTCGTTTTGTGGGAAAATTGCCAACTGCTGCCTCAGAGTAGCTCCTCCTGGGCACCCTGGGGATAGCTCGAGACTTGCTGCCCCGACTCTGCAGACATCGATCCCCTGACATAAAGGGGCTGCATCTGCTGCGGCCCTGTAACCCCCACGTGCTTGCTTCAGGTCCCCTCTAATAGCCTGCCATCCTGATTCCATATGCACACCAGGTGAACAGCGGTTTTACTGCTGTATCCAGGGGATGAGGACGAGAACACAGGTCTGCACATGTTCGCGACAGAGGCAGGATTTGCCTTTGTTATTTTTGACATCTTCAGCCCATGGCTGGTTGCATCAGTGGCTCAGAGCTGGTGCTGTGGGACTGCCTGCGTCTACCTAGGTGCCACTCTCTGTCCTCACACCTGGCACTTGGCTGACGGGGCGCCTCCCAGATCCACAGTCCTGAGCCCCGCTCTGTGCTCCCCTTCCAATGCCTCCCTACAGACTTCCACCCGCTGCGCTGTATCTCCGAAGCAGGACCCACCCCTGATTCACAGCAGTGTATCTTTTGCACTATGCTGTTTCTGTCCAGAAATGGAAGACACTGTGGGTGGTTGTAGCCCCAGGGATGACCATAAAAGAAAGGAGGTGGGTCAGGGCTCACAGATGGGGACCATGGGCAGCAGGAACGTGTGCCCCATTTTTAGGCTGCCCAGAGTCCCTGCTATGAGCTAAGGTTCAGCAATAGGGGGGTGCAACAGACTTCCTGATTATTTTTGGTAAAAAGGATTTCATTGTGAAACAAATGCTGCAAGATCACCAAGTGAAGGTTTAAAAGCAACCAATATGTTAATCAATTTACACATTAAGCCAAAAACGTGGTCACTATCGTCACCTGTAATCATGGACTATTCTCTTTGCGTTCTCTAGTTGCTCATCCGTTAACAGGACATTCCTGGGATCCGTCACGGTGAAGAAGTGACTGGCTCGCCCCACAAACGTGCTCTGATCCCATCGAGGTTCCTCGATGTTGATGTGCAATGGCAGTTCCCCAGACATCGTCCCGCCTGCAAAGCAAGAAGACCATAGAAGATCCACCGTCACCCCAGACTTTTGATCCTCAACCTGGTCTTCAAGGTGGATTGGCTCTTTCTGTTTATAAGCATCATTTTGGTATAAGTGGCAGAGAGGCCACCTCAACCAAAGCTGACTCTGTCCCCAAGTCTCAATGCACCTTAACCAAATGTCACTGATTTTCCACACACTTCTCTTTATAAGTACATAGTATTATGCCACTCCTTACTTGATGGAAACCCAAAAACTAGGGAAAAATAGAAATACAAAAGGGTTTAAAATAATATCCACAGTAACAAGGTCTGGAGTTGGAAATGCCAGGCACCCAGGTCTGCCTGCTTTCTGCCCCTGGGTGCAGAGGTGACTATGCATGCAGAGAGCACAGACGCCAAATGTCAGAGTCCAGCCAAGACACGGGTTCACTTGGCCTGTACAGCACATGAGCCACTAACAAGAATCAAAGGTGCCAGGTTACCTTCTTCCACGTACCGGGCACAGTGAGAAGAGCACCCGCTGCAGCCTGAGATGCCCTCGCAGCATTTCTGCCATTTACAGCAAAATGATGTTATTAAACAGAGCCTCGCAACCGTTACTTTTTCCCCTTAGTAATTAACCCGTTTCTCTGAGTAACATATGCTTATTTTAGAACTGCACTGTGTGTGGTAGGACATGCTTATTGTAGCATTCTGAAAAATACAAGCTTGTTATAGAAAATAAAGAATAAAGAAACAAAATCGCCCACAGCCGAGCTTCTCAGAAGTAAGCACCGTGCATGTTCCCATTCACTTCCTTGCAGACATCTTCTGGACACATTATCATAGAGATTGACATAATAACTTAATACTTTAATATCATTTAGTTCATGACAACTTCTATGCCATTAAATAATCATTTGAAGTAACACCTTTAATCTTGATGCTGCCTCAGTTTTCCACCATTATATGTGACGCTGCACTCTTGTCTGAGAATTTCTTCCCCTGACTGATGATCTTAAACTTGACCTTGAAGTCTGATGTTAACAGGTAGAAGGACCTACCCACTCGGAGGGCTTCAAACCACTGCTTTCCTGTACCCATTTCTATTTCCATGTGTAATACCTGTTCAGATCAGAGCTCTCTTTCTTAGGTCATTGTTCATTAAGTTACTTCTTCAGAGCTTTATAAGCTCCTAAGTATGTTAAGATGTCTGCAATCCCAGTGACTTAGGAGGCTGAGGGAGGAAGAACACAGTGTGAAGCCAGCCTGGGCAATTTAGGGAAATACTGTCTTGAAAATAAAAGGGCTGGGGATATGGCTGAGTGGTGCAGTGCCTCTGGATTCAATCCCCATCATCTCAGGGGAAAAAAAAGTCAGATGCACTGTAGGATTTGATAGAATCTCCAACACGTTCTGTGGCCCACTGGATCAAGACTGAGAAGGCTAGTTAGGGCCACAGCGGGGAGGAACCTAGAGAATGTGAAGCCGCCTTGGCATTACAGTAGCAGCAGGGACAGTGACAAAGCAGAAGTCAGGCCTGCCCCTGTCCAGGCTGCTGGGTCCCAGAGAAAGCCAGCTGCGAAGCTGCTGGGATTACCTTCCTCCGAGGCCGCAAGGTAGCTAAGGCGTGCCACATGGCTCCCTCTGCTGAGTAACCACTGCTTTCTTATCTCGTGGAGAAACCTGGTTCTTTGTCTCCACAGGATCAGAAACTTTGCTCCTTGGAATCTCAACAGGAGGAGTGAAAGTCTCCACCCTGGCACAGAGTGGGGAGTGGCTCTCCAGCCCCGGGCAGCTCAGGTGAGGGGACTTGTGGACCCAGCATTCCCAGTCTACCTTAACTCAGCAGTTTCCAAGGACACAGGGATGTAGGTCCACGCTGCAGTCACAGTGCAGCCAGCCAGTCAGGAGGACCTCGAGGCCCACAGCTTACTCCTGCTGGTCTGGGCTGACCAGGTGATGAGCAGAAACACAGGGACACATGGGCTCAGTGGGAGCAGGTCCCTCCTCCTGCCTTCCACCCCTGTGTCTTCTCACAAGGGTTATTTGGAAAGAGGTTTCTACTGCTTGGAAAAACAAGAAAAAAGTATCTTAGGAGCGGATGACCCTGAGAGCCAGGAGATGATGCAGGAAAGTCGAGAAGCTCTCAGGATACCCTGGGTTGTTATCCCTCCTCAGCTTCATCAGTCAACCTCAACATCCATTTATCTAGGTGGGGAGGGCAGCTTTGTTTTTCTAATTCCCAAATCCCATCAGGGACAGTATTTTTGTAAAAAAAAAGAAAAGAAAAGGAATTTTGAGAGAAATGAAGACAATTAAGTAAAAAATTAGAGCCCCAAGTTTTATTATTAGAGTCAGTAGACATCAAATGGCTCTGTCAAAGTGTTGTTTAAAGTGCTCGAGGCTAATTTCCAGCAGTTGGACCTCGTGATCGACCTGTGACAACTCACACTCTGGCTCCCGTAGGCCATACTTGGAACTTATAATGACGTGTATGGTGCGAAATCTGTTTCGTCCTGATGTGTCATCAAAAAATGCCAAACATCATCACAGGACTGAATAGAACACAAAACCTGGCACAACTTCCTCCCATTTTTTAATGAGCCCACAAAAGGTTTAGTTCCCTCCCTTTAATTTAAATAATTTTAAAATTTCAATTTTAAATTTAAATAATGGACAGAAGAAATTCTTTGCAGGAAAAGTCTGTTGGCCTTGGTTTTCTGTAAGGGCTACAAAGTGCAGCCATCTTTGTGCCCGCGGGCTGCTCTCCGACTGTGTGACAGGTTCTTCAGCTACGTCAGAGAACAAGGAAGACACTTCCTGCCCCAGCAGAGGGGCCACTGGGCTCCCCCTGGGGGAAGGGGGAATGAGAGGCAGAGAGAAGAAGGTTACTCCTCACAGTGGAAGGTGCCTGCGGTTTGGGAAAAAACAGAGTGGACTTGAAGGATCCCAGGATGGTAGGCCGCCGCACGTTCAGCAGGGCAGCCAGAGCAGGGCTGGCTGGGAAACAGCACTGGAGCGAGAGAGAGGGCTGGGAGGAACTGAATCCTGTGGGCATCTGGGGGAAGAGCATCCAGGAAGAGGGAATGGACCTTGCAAAGGCCCTGAGGCAGGCACATGTCCAGTGTTTTTAAAGAATAGCAAGAAGGCTTATCTTGGGGGAGGTGAGGAAGAGGGAAGAGAGGGGAGAGGGAGAGGGAGGGAGGGAGAGAGAAAGAGACAAAGACACACAGAGAGAGGGGGAAGGAGAGGATCAGGGGAGGGAGGAGGGAGGGAGAGAGGAAGGGAGGAGGGAGGGAGGGAGGGAGGGAGGCCAGGGGAGGGCGGGGCTGGGGTCAGCCGGTGGGAGGCCTTTGCCTTCTGATCAGAGGAATGAAGTCACCTGACTTAGAATTCAGCAGGGCCTCTCTGGTGCTGTGTGGGGAGGTGGGGAGCCAGAAAGGAGCAGATGGAGCAGTGGTGAGGTGACAGCCACCCAGGAGCCGCGCTGGCTGGGGTGCGGCAGGGAAGCCACTGGAGGGCTTGGATGCCAGACGTTCTGCTGAAGGAGCCAACAGGCCTTCCGACAGCTTGGCGCGTGGGCTGTGGGAGCAGGAAAGGCAGGACTTCCAACGATTCCGGTGGAACCACTGGAGGAACAGCGAGCCTGGGAGGGAAAATGGGAAGTTCAGACTCGAATGTGCTAAATGTGAGGTGCCGAAGGGCACCCAAGTGGGGCACCCAGGCAGTGGAACGTGGAGTCAGAGTTCAGGGTGGCGGTCAGCAGGAGGAGTGGTGAGCGGGAGGAGGCGGCAGAGGCAGATGGCAGAAGCAAAGGGACTAAGGGCTGCGCTATGAAGGTCAGGAAAAAGCCTGAACAAAGGTGGCCGGGTGGGAGGCCAGGGGCGTAGCGTCCTGCAAGGCAGGAGTGATGAGCTCTTAGTAACCTTGTGCCAAAGAGCTCTTGGTGACCATTACTTTGTTCTGGGATAGTAAGGAGGGGTGCCACCCCTCCCCAGGGGCCAGTATGGCAGACAGGACACTGTGAAGACAGCTGCCTTCGCAACTTCTAAGAATCCTAAGCAATGGTGGCAGTGAGTGTGGAGAGATGCTGGGGTCTCCCTGTCCCTGCCTGGGGCCTGTGCGTTCCTGCTAACCCCCTGGCACAGACAGTGGTTCTGGATTCAGCGGAAACCCACACAGCCTCCCAAAAGACAAGCACTACCCCTTCTCCCAGGAGCACGGGCACAGTCTGGGCGTGCGTGAGCTGTGAGCAGTTTCCGTCCTACATCCTGGCGCCCCCCCCTCCCCGCTCCCCCAATCTTGAACCAACTGGGATGCCTGCCAGGGGCAGCTGATCCTTAGTTTTCCCAGAAAAATCAAGCACCAAGTAATCCTTCTTCCCTTTTAACTAAATTCTCACTGTGCACATTTTACAGATGAGGAAAACAAGATTCTGAAACGACACTCATGGCCACCCCTCACCTGCCCAGCAAGGGAGGAGGCAGGGAGCTGGATCTAACTGCTGGTCTTCGACTCCAGGTTAACCCACCTAAGTTCTGACACTGGAAAGTCTCATTGCTGGCCTTGAACTTGTGATGGGCAGAATAACGCCTGGAGACTGAGAAGATGCTACTTTACACCTGGAGGGACTTAGCCCAGGATCCTGAGGAGGAGATTATCCTGAGTACTCAGGTGGCCCCAAGGCAATTACAGAGCCACATACGGAGAAGGACAGGCAAGGGGGCTGATGTTGTACGAGGTGACGAGCCAAGCAGTGCAGGTGGCCCCTGGGAGCCAGAGAAGACAGACAGGAACGCTCCTGAGGGCAGATTTTAGGCGGTCCTGCCCAGTCTGGACAACTGGCCTCCAGAGCACTAAGAGGCATTTTGTCTTTTTTAAGCTAACAAATTTGCGGTCATTTGTTAAAAGCACTAGGAAAAAATACAGCACCATTTCACCAACTTAAAAGGACTCTAAGCCAGGTGTGGTGCAATCCCTAGGTCCTGAGGCAGGAGGACCCAAGTTCAAGGCCAGCC